TTTAGTAGGATTTATATTTTCAAATTAAGGCCCCTAAATTTCAGCATCATCCGATTTCAGCATCATCCCCGACATTACTTAATTACAAAATAAGCTATTATAATTACACAAGAAAAAGTATAATGCTAAAAATGCCATGTCGTTATTCTGTAACAATGGTAAAAAATAAACTATATTTCTTAAATTATCGACTTCCATATGTACATACTTTTTTGATGCGGGAAATAACTACTGAACAATGCAATATGTGTTATTTTCGTTGCATATTCTTTTTATAAATTTTGTGTTACTGTCCGTTGGGAATACAGTACAATTAATCGAGATAAACATTATGATCAAAGTTAAATTCTCTGATTATTTGATCAGATTAAAGGTCAATTCATATGCAATACGAAATCAGCAGAATATTTTTTGTTTTATATAAAGATAAAAGGTTTAGCTAATGTTTTTAGTTTTCTCATTGCTATGGATAAATCAAATTCAACAAATATTTCAGGTGAATAACAAAATAATACTAAATCTTTTCTTTACATCTAGATTCAATATTAAATCAAGATTCTTATTAAAGATTCTAAGGACCAGACTTTAAAGGTTGAAAATTTGTCTTTTGAAGTTTGTCAAGAACTTGAGAAAGCCACTCATGAAGTCTACGTACAAAACTTTTCCAAAAATGAAGGTAAAAGCTGAAATACACTATTTTAAATTATTTAACTTTATCTTGTGGTCAAAGTCAAGCGAATATCTATAATTAGATTACTTGACTAGAACCGATAACAAAATAATATGCATGAAAATGTAAATCTAATTTAATCTTTAAAATTCAATAAAAATACTAGTCAATGATAATACAAAAGCAAACGAAAATTTGAACAATGATAATGATCCAAGAAATTGGTCCTCAAAAAAGAAGTTGCTAGTTTTGACCATCATAACTATCTGCGGAACATCACCGACTGTTGCGGTAATGTGAGTGCTTTTCCTAATGACTATATAGTTATGTTTTAAATCAGCCGAATAGCCAGTTTACTGGTGTCAGTAATTTGTCGATCTACACATGTACCGGAATTATCCGGTGAATCCGATTAGGAAATTTATTGTTATACAATTACAATATACGTATTATGTTTTACGTAATAGCGATAGTACAAAAAAGCCTAAATGAGCTAGTCCAGACATAATTCGGCATTAGTTTGAAGCTAGGCCAGTCAAATTAACTTTCTGATAAAAAAAAATTACTGGGTAGTCTGTCATTATGGTCTAAATATAGTTAATTGGCAATCTAATAAATTTATTATTAATCAATTGATTATATGGTGGGTTCACTTATACTACAAAAAGGCTCTTAGGAATGAAATCGATAAGATTGGTTTATTTCAATTCTGAACTGATTCTAAGACAAATTTTATAATATCTTTGTTTTTTAAATTTTTAAATTTTACAATTTTAGGATGCCCGTACCCGCGCTTGTTGTTATACAAAAGGATTTTAATGCTTCCATTTTAGCTATAGATACTTTTGGTAATATTTAATAAAATTAATGAATAAAGATAAATGTTTATAAAATTTAATTAATAACCCATTAAACTGAATTATATCATTTCATGCTGTATTTTATTTTATTTATTTTCAATTTGTAGCTTCTGTATTTGTTTTTTTCTTAGGAATAGGGGTAAAACACATTTTATTTCTTGTATAGTACTATTCTTTAATTCGTTATGCTAATAATGATATAATTATTATAGCCAATATTTTGGGCTGCTTATTCTGATGAATTCGCAACAAGAAAAAAAGCATTTATCGCTTCTCTTCTGCTATTTATTTCAGCATCTGTGGTGTGCGCAGTCGCAACAAACATTTGGTTGTTAACAGCAATGCGCGCCATTCAATCTTGTGGTAGTTCTGCTGCATTGCCACTTAGTGCTGGAGTTATAAGTGACATTTACGATCCTCTCGGTAAAATTTTTTAATTATTTAATTAGACATCATTTATTATATATTCATTTTATAAGATTTTATTATTCATATTTACAGAACGAGGACGTGCATTCGGAATATTTTACTTTGTTTATTGGATTGGCTATCTAGGAACAATTTTGGGAGGAT